TCATCCTCCAGTCAGGACAGATGTTTGATAAGATTTTTTTTTACCCTTGATCTATTCCTGGAATAATTTTCCTACTTTGCAGAAGATATTTGGAATCTTTGCCCTATCGATCATTTTTATTTTTTTCCTCACTGAAGCTTCTCTACAGATGAGATTGCAGAGGATATGACAGATAAACAGAAAAGAAGCATTTAACTGGCTATTGAACCTCAAAATAACACATTCTCAGCACGGAGCTGAGTTAAAGAGCAGGTAACAAAAAGCCATTCTCATCCTTCAGGAGCTCTGCAAGGGAAGAAAGAGAATAAGGGAACTAACACAGAGGAAACAGCACACATTTTTAAAAGTGAAAAAACCACAAAGTTCAAACAGTATTAGCTCATAAATAAGAAAATTTTTGAAGTTCTATATACAGTTATGATCTTTTTCACTGTTTTGTTTTCACAAAACAAGTGTTGCTGGTTTTCATTTGAAAACAACATTAGTTTCCTGAGCAAACAAAAAGCAGGTGAAGACTCACCTATAAAGATCTGTATCACCATCCAGTGAAACAGCACAAAATGGGACATTCTGGCTGACAGGGACAGCAGCACAGCAAGTGGAAGAAGAGGAAACCAGACCTTATCCTTTCCAGAGTCTGAGTGACTCCCACTGAAGTCTCATTTCTCCATTTCCAGATTTTACATGCTGCAAGTGTTTCTCTCCTACGCTTCCGGATAGGAACTGCCCAACGAGGGGATCTGCTGCTGTGCTCAGCGCTGTGCAGCCCCACCTGGGGCACTCTGGGCCGTTCTGGGCCACACAATTTAAGGGCATTCAGGTGCTGGAATGACAGAACCAGAGGACACAGCCTCAAGGGAAATATAGGATGGATATTAGGAAAAAGTTTTCTATGTAAAGAATGATGAAGTCCTGGAATGGTCTGCCCGGGAGGTGGTGGAGTCACCTTCCCTGGATGTGTTTAAAGAGAGACAGGATGTGGCACTGGGTGCCAGGGTTTAGTTGAGGTGTTAGGGTTGGGTTGGACTCGATGATCTTTAAGGTTTCTTCCAACCCAATAATTCTGTGAACGTGCTCAGATGAGGCCAGCTGAGCAGGTGGCAGGGACTGGAATGAACATCCTGTGAGGGGCAGCTGAGGAATCCAGGACTGGAGAAAAGGGGGCTGAGAGGAGCTCAGAGCTCTCTGCAGCTTCCTGAGGAGGGGACATGGACAGGGATCTCTCCTCCCTGGTAGCGACTGACAGGACACAGGGAGATGACTCCAAGCTCATGGGGATGATTCCAAGCTGACCAGGGAGATTTACACAGGACATTGGGAAGTATTTAGTGAGAGGGCAGTAAACCCTAAAAAGACTTTCCTTTTCACCTTTCCCCTTCCAAGACATTCAACATGGTCCTAGCACCAGAAATTTCAATATTCTCTTTTCTTTGCCATTCCCTGGAACTCTTAAGGCCCAGTTCTGTTTCAGGGTCCTGAGTGGCAAGAACAAAGTCTGTGCTTTTACACCCCTAAACATTTGGCATAGTCTCCCCTCAGACTTTGTCCTCAGTTACATTTGCCTAATCCCTCATTTGCCATGCTTCTGCCTTCTGCCTGAAGACCCCTCTCTTCCCCCAGCTTTGTATTTTCTGTTTGCAAAGACAGCCTTAGAGGAAGTTGTTGCAAATGTTTTGTTGCCAAAACCACTTCCTTCCCAAAGAAATGGGACATCAGCTTCAAGAAATATATTTCACTCCTTCTGACTGTTTTATTTTTTTCTGACCAATTGACAAATAAGTTCTCTGGAAGTTTTTCTCTGGAACAGCTGAGTAATGAAGCAAAAGTAATTCAGGGCAGTAAGGTCAGGAATGAAGAACTGCAGATAGACAAAATTCTGTGCAAATAAATGTAGCACAGTGCAAACTGGAGTGCAATTCCAAGTTCAAATGATAAAATGATGGGCTTTTAACCAGGCATTACACTTTTAGTAATGAGATTTTGGGCTTATCATGATAGTCAAGTCCATGAAAATATCGCCCTTCTGCTTGCTAGCACTGAAAAAAGCAAATAAAATGTTAGCAGTAAAGGCAATGAGTAAAATACTTAATTTGCTCTATTCTACCAGCTACAGTTCATACAATAGCCCAGCCCCAGCTGCTATGTGAACAGAACTAATGAAAGCTGAGGTATCCAATATCCTGGAGATTTTCTCCCTGCAATGATCATAGTTTCTCCCATTACTGACCACCCAGCAGTGGCTGTGAGCTGATGCTCAGCTGATGCCAGTGCAGGGAGCAGCTGAATTTCACCTGGGGCACAAACGTGGGTCATTATTCAGCTATAAATTCCCATAAAGCTTGTCCAGACAGAGCTGGACAGTATGTCACAGGCAACCAGGAAAGGCACAGGATGAACACAGCATCCTATCAGATTTGCTTTCATAGCAAGGCTGGGCCAACAGCAGAGTGCATTGAAAAAGGCCATTCAAAATCCAAGTGTGCTGGGAAGAACCACAAACACACGGGTCACTTTCTGCTCTTGTACTGCTATCTAGTGGCTTCTTGCAGGCAGAAAAGGCAGAGGTGTCTGATGAGTTTTCAGCTCATCAGCTCAATGTGCTGCCAGACAATATCCTGGTGGCTGAATGGCTTCCAAGTGCACTTGCTTGTGTCTAAGGCTCATTTTGAAATGCCTCTTCAGAGATCCACTGACACAAGTGCAGGTAGCAAAAGCCCAGGGAGCTTCTGCCTTTGTGGATGTGTATCACACTGCATGCCCAGGGCAAAGTTCTTGGTCCATACTACCTTTGCAAAGTGTATTTACCAAGCAGTTACAGAGCAGAAAGATTTTGCTTAATTCAAGATTTTGGTTATCAGATACTCTAGAACTTTACGTGAAAAGTTGCTGATGCAAGAATTAGTCTGAATTAGTCTGTAATATTAATTATAAAAATCCTTACAGACAAGCATCTTTTATGATTAGGAATCTTAAGGATAACCCACAAACTCCTTAAGAGCATGAACAGTTGAAATCAGATGATTTTGGAGATCCCACATGTCTAACTCTGACCCCAGGAGAGACTGATTACATAAAACTGCAGAAAGCAGAAATTGCTGGAGATGTTTCCTGAGCCAGTTCAGAGACCAGATTAGACTTCCTCCAGCTCCTGTCATGGGATGGAGCCTGCAGCAGCAACATGCTCAGCCAGGCAGAAGGAAAGCATTGTCTGCAGCAGGGCCAGAGATTTGGGGTCAGTAATTGTTATTAGTAATCAAATGCAGAAATACAGTCTGACACCAGCAGGTCATTTCTGGATTCTGTACCTTCTCACACAAAGCTATACATGATGTGAAGACAGAAAATGGCAGAGCTGGTTTTGTCCATCATTTTTCCTGGCCCTGGGATCAATAATCACCCAAAATCTGTGCTCCCACTCTTCAGTCAGCCATGAATTCACCTTTGCCTTTTCAGCCTGCTACAACAGAGACCCCAGGAGAACAGAGATCACAAGTAAAAATCCAAAGCACCTGGCCCAATTTGCTTTCCATTTATTCCTTCCTCAACAGGACAAGCCTTTTCCTCCTTTGGAGTCTGTGCAAAACCACTCACCTGCAAGACCCTACCTGAGCCAGAGCCTCTGTGAGCCCTGGGGAAACCACTGCCCTCCCAGCCAGCCCCAGCCCTCCCATCTCCACCAGCTGGGACAAGGAGAGGTCACTTCTCCACTGACCCCAGATCCTCCTAAAGCACAACCAGATCGTAGCCTCAAGCTGTGTCTCAGCTGTTGACATAAATACTTACTGATGTTATGCCTCATTGCATTGTTGAAATAATTTTGGAGTTTAAGATTAACTCACTGGCAGAAAGTTTGTGGTGAGTTTTTGCTGTGGCAGCAGTGTCTGTGTTGGGTAATTCCACACTGCTGCCTAGGATGAGCTTCAGGACAAAATGATTTGACCAATATTTGGTAAGAGTTGGTGTCTCTCCTGCCTGTGCTGCTTTTCTGCTCTTCTCCCAAGCTCTGCTTAAAATGTGTTCTAAAAAACAACTGAGGACAATTACTCTTCTTCTTAAGGATGATTTGGGTGTGTTGTCTCTTGCTCAGCAATTTATACTCACAGGACAGACTCTATTTATTTATTTAAAGTAAACCAAAGTTTTGTTTTGCAGAGAATAAAAGATGAGGCACGTCACTAACTGAGGAGCAATAGAGGACAGGCACTTGGCCACAGATGTTTCCCATTTATGAGGTAAAATCCATCAAACACATTCAACATTCTTAGGAATTAAGAGTTGTTTGATATCTAGTGATGAGTGAAGGCAAGGCCAACTTCCAGCCAATATTTTGTGCAATGTCCACGATTTCTCTGCAAGCTAAGAAAATAATCTCATTAACTTTACAAAGGTGGGGGAAGGTTGTTCAGATTTTTTAGAGACTTTGAAGTGAGACTTTCCACACCAAGGGCTTCCCAGGGTAAAGGAGAAAGCCACAGGAAAACAGTGATGTACTTTGCCAAAAAAACTCACACTTAGTCAATTCTCTGCACACAAGCTGTGACTGTTCTGTCCATTGAGTTACTGATGCTGCCTGGCTTCAAGGATATCCCCTTGGGGGTGAGCAGCCATAGCTCCTTCAGATTTAATTCCAGGTGGACAGACATTCATATATTGCATTACTGAGCTGTTACCAGAACAGGCCATACCTGATTTCAATAAAAATACAAAAATAAGTGTGTATCAAATTACTAATACTACCAAGATTGGCCATGTGACCTCTGTGTCACACAGCTGTGAGATTGCTTCTGCTCTCTCACGACACAGACTCTGTGGAAGGTGGCAGATAGAACCCACAGTGAACACAATTGTGCCCTTCTGGCACTTCCTCTTTTTTTTTTTTTTCCCAACAAGGAAGCGAGAATTTGAAGCGGATAATAAATATAATCATAACTTTCTTTAGGAAATGGAAAGTTCCACCAATGCCAGTTTTCGTTTCTGTCTCTGGAACAGGCTGATAAAGATTTTAATTTAAAGTGTAGCTTTTATTTGTTTTATTATTAGGATGTGAATAATGCTTCAGTAGTGCAGTCACGTTCAGCTGCTGAGCAGAGGGAGCAGCCAGCATTTTGCAAACTATTTAATGTCCCATCAATGACAAAGACAGCCATGCATCCAGTCCTTAGTGTATGATATAAATATTTTCCTCTGCATGAGTCTCTTCTTCCAGGGCACTATGGCTCCCCACAACTTGTGGCCTCCAAAATGCAACAAAGCTGCACAAAAGAGTAAAAAACATGGTGTTAAACCAGAAACAGACAATAAAACCACAGAAGAACAGATCAACCAGCTCACTAGAAAATGTAAAATATGTTTAAACATGTGATCATGACTGATAGTGAATCATCTTTCCACTTATGAGACAATTGACACCCCTGAGGTTAGCAAGATGCCTAATGTTGTGAACTGACAGTGACACTTATTTTTGCTTAATAAATAACAAAAAAGTAGCAGGAGTTATTAGTTTCTTTTTATAATATTTTCTATTAACATGAGGTTAAAAAATAAAGCCAAATTATGTGATGGAATGCTCAGCGCACTGACTTTTTTTTCTGCAACTATTAGCAAAAGCAGGAACAGAAAACTTACCCTGCAGAAGCACTCATCTTCTTTGTGTTGTAAAAATATTCTAAGGACCATTCAGAATGAAAAGAAAGAAAAAAAGAAAGAAAAAATTAATTTTGTTTAAACCATTAGAAGCAAGTAAAATAGTAGGTTCAAAGATAAATTCAGGTGTAAGAAACTAAATAAGGGACCTTCAAAAATGTTTTCAGGATAGGAAATTCCCATTGTGAGCAGCCACAGCACAGGGGCCCTCCAGGGACCTCAGCTCCCTGCCCTGAAGTGGGAGATGTGGCATCAGCCACAGCTGTGGCTGGACAGACTGAACAATCCTTGAGTAAGTGCTTATGAGAAGTACTCACGTTTAGTGAGGAGCAGAGCCAAAATCAGGATGAGCAGAAGTGCTGCACACGAGCCAATTCCAATGTACAGCCCACGTTCTGGGTCCTGCTGACTGGCAAGTGATACAGATGAGTTCTGTCAAACACAAGCCAAGGAGCATTAGAGGAACTGACAGCAAGAAGCCCATGCAATACCCAAAGGCCTTCTGTGTGTTTTGCAATTCTGCAAGAAAAGCACACCTTAGACCAAAAGCCTAATTTGAGCAACAGGACCAGTTTGAAGCAGAATCTCTGCAATAATTGTGTGAACCGTGCTGTTAAACACAGTCTTTGAGATTTTCAGAAGAACTGAAGTTATGAGAAATCCCATTTATTCAGGTTTAATAATATTTGGTGATTTTTTTTTTAATGAGTAAGGTGTCACAGCCTCCCACCTGTGCTGCAGGACTCAGAGGACACACAGAGCTGCCTGTTTGAGCCCCACTGCACGAGGAGTGCAGGGCACCCCTGTGCTCTCAGCTGGCCCCAGCTGCACTTTTGCCCATGTCCTGTCATACCTGCAGGCTTGCAGTCACATCCAAGCAGTCTGAGGGGCCTGAGCAGGGAGCAGAGGCCTGAAAGGACATAGAGATGTTGCTAAAGCTCTTCCTCCTCTAGAAGGAAGTATTTTATGCATGCTAAGCAGGGTTTTTTCCCCCCCCCTCACTAATAATGAGCACATAAGCACTCTTTCTAACCACTAAACATGTAGACTACAAAACAATATTCTGCTGCAATCAGACAAAAGCAGCGGAAGCGACCTGTAGGGATGACCCAGTAACCTCTCAAGTCCATCCACTCTGTCGAGGTGTGCTACAGCAAGGCTGATGCTTACAGTCTGAGGAGCTTCAGAAGCAGAAACCAATGGCCAGGTCCTTGTGACAGTGACAGAGGATTCACTGGTGCTGCCAGGAGCTGAGCAAAGGCAAGACAAACACATCACTTGCACAGAGAACTGTTCTGCCTCCACAGAGAAGAATTTGTGCAGCTGACTTGGGACCCTGAACTTCTGTGTGTGTCAGCAGTCTGGGCTCTGCATATCATAAGAGGTTGGTGCCCTCAGAGGGCAGCACAAAACTCTGAATATTGAAGTTTCTGCTGTCTTTTTCAGAGCTTTGAACTCCTTCTTAGGAGTACTTGGCTCTCACTGTTATCTCAGCACTACGAAGGAGTTACCAATCGGAGCTGGAGCCAAGAAACAGTGGCCAAAGGATCATAAAACAGATTGGGTTAAAAGGGATTTAAAGCCCTTATCATCCCCTGCTATGGACAGGTTTCTCAATGCCCCATCCAACCTGGCCTTGAAGCAAAAAATGATGCATAAAGCAAACTTAGGTTATCAGCTGAAAACTGATGAAGATTATCTCAGGGCCTTGAAGCAGCACATGATGCAGTCACAGAAAGCAGGTGATACTTTTAAAGCCCCAGGCAGCTATACAGTAAACAGACTGAACAAAATGTAATATATTTGCATAAGGACCTGCAGCACATTTTGAGGTAATTTCCCAGAGCACAGCTGTTCGCAACATTTAAAATTAAGAGCTACAAATTTCTGTCTTATCTATTATCAGTCTCAGTTTCTCCATGTGTTGTCAGATGACATAAAAATCTCCTGAACACAAAATCTCCTGTTCCCTCTGTGCCATCCCCAGCTGGTTGCTTTTATGTTTTAAATTGTTACCCTTATCCCAGAAGCTTTATTTTGAAGAGGACAGGATAATCAGCTTCCACTGGAGATTCTAGAGTATTTCTAAATCAGAGGCACATGGACACCTGCCTTTCCCCACCTCCCTCAGTGTGAACAAGCACACACTACTTTGTATTCTGAAAACTTCAAACACTGTTCCACCATCAGCTAAGGAGGAGGTCACAGGGATAAGAAAATCCCTGAGTTCTAAGATTGGAATCAATGTTATTTGCAACTAGAATAGAAACTGTCTGAGAAAGTTTTCACTTCCTCTTCCAAAAAGGAAATGCAACAGTTGTAACACTAATTTGAAGTTGCTTAGCTGAAAACATCCAAGATAGAGGGAGAAATACAAATGGCATCCCTGATTTTTTTTTTCAGAATCCAGAGAATAAACCATTGCTACATCACGAGGTTTCTCTTGTGTAGTGGAAATTAAAGTTGTCTTTTTCAGACTGGAAAGATGCAGCTGAGCAGGTTTATGATAGAAGTTTATCCTTTTCTGAAGGGAATGTAGAAAACAAGTGAGGAATAGCTGAGCACTGTCTCTTCCCCTGCAATGAGGAGCCTCACATTATTAAATGTGCACAGAGGATGTGGGCAGCCTCGGGGACAAACCTTACACCAGGGTGGAACAATAATTTGGCACTGTGTCACAAAAATAATGTCATTTTTTATCATTCTCCTTAATCATCTGCTGCTGACTGCTACAGGAAGCAGGACTCTGTCTGATGTTCTTTTGAGCTAGTCCAATAAAACAGTTCTGATTAAATAGTGGGTACACCCAACTCCTAAAAGTTGTGTTTTACCATTCATGGGATGCATTTCTAGAAGATGAGGAGAGATTTTATACCACAAAAACCCCCTACAAACCAAAACAATAGTCAAATAAAACCAAAACAAAAGTCAAATAAAATCTTGCAGCACCATTAAAAGATCTATTTAAGCATCACACCTGGAAGCAGCTTCCTCCCAAATATACATGTTCCCTCAGTATAATATCAATCAGAATTTAAATCCAAGTTCTGATCTTTGGTAATGTTTAATAAATTTAAGCCAAATATTTCTACCATCTGTCATAATTTTTTTTCTTCCTAAGATTCCCCATTTGAAATATGGCTTGTACATGCTATTAATACTTGGATAAAAATTACCTGAGGTCTGTTCAGAGGTGTAAGTGTGAGGACTTGCAGTAGAGATCCTTGCTGATGTTAAAATATAAAACAAAATCAACACATAATTAACCTTATTGGGCATTTGTGTTTTGAGAAAAAGATAGTGTTTCCATAATAAAAATTTGCTAGCAAAGCACAAGTACATTTGTCAGCCAAGTATCACAAATATCACAAGTAAGGGAAAAACTAAAAATCAAAGGAAGAATTGATAAAAAGCTTCTCTATACCAATTAAATCCCTCGGATTTTATCTAGAATCAAGCAGGGAAAAGCAAACACAACTTTCAATGACAAAGGAGCAGGAATAAAGCTTTGGATGAATACTTTATGCTGCCCTTCTTTTTAAATTCTTTGGTGTCTCTAAGAATGCTCCATGAAAGCATCATGTCCTTTTTTATCTGCAGTGACTGCAGTGGGATAACAACATTGCCAAAGACAGCCTAATTGAGGTAGCACTAACAGCAGATGCACAAGGTCCTCAAGATCAGTCAAGAATGCAGAAATCATTTCCACCACAAGCTTTGAAACCCAGACCCAGGAGCAGATCCATCACAAGAGCTCCTCTGCACTCACCTTTCTTCACCATAACCTTGTGATTAATCAGCTGATCGTTGAACAGCCCCGGGATCTCCACACGGCAGCAGTAGGTCCCAGAGTCTGCTTCCCTGGCGTCCACGATGGTCAGGGACACGTCCCCCTTCTGCAGGTCCCCTTTCAGCTGGTACCTGCTGCTGTGCTGCTCTGTCACCCTCCAGCCATCTGTCCAGATAATGGGCTGGGAACACTTGGAACTGGGGCACCTGTCCCGACCCCAGCACATGGATGTGATGCTATTGGTGTTCCAGACAGTGTAGTGGCAGGGCACAGTGATGTTCTGACCAACCTCTCCTATCACAATTAATTCGGATACTGTGGAGCCTGGGGACAAAAAGACAAACAGTTATGGAGCACAGGGCAAGGAGCAGGGAAGCTTCTTGTGAATCTTGCATGTCTGAAACCTCCCGTCTCTCAAAGAACACCATGCTTTGCTGGATTTTGCACAAATAGATGTGTCCTGGCAAGACTGGTGCAGTGAGGGATAATGATCAGGCCAGGGACATGTTCACAGAAATAACATTTTCTGCAGGCTCTGCACATAGGCAATGAGGTGAAGAGACTCGGTGGCTTCTCTTGAGCCAGGTGCAGTCTCTTGGCTCTTAACTTTTTCCTTTGTGTGCATTTAACCCAAGCTACACACACAAGGGAGCAGTAATACATTGACTTTTCTCAAAGCCATTGTGGGAAACACTTCCCCCCTTTCAATGAACTAAACTGCAGGTTTCATCTGAATGATCACTGCTGAATGAATTTCATTTTCTCTTGACTTAAGGCAGGTTTTGCCCATTCTTATCAGTAGAAATTTTTCAGAGCTTTTCTGAGAAATAGTATATATACTCTCTTTTTTTTTTTTCCACTACCTTATTCTCCCTTCTTAGTCTTACGCAGTTTCTACTTAGTTTGCTTCCCCAAAAATTTGTCACGTTTCCAGGAGGTTGTGTCACACTACTCAGGTCAAGACAGTGAGCCCTAACACCCAGTAGACCATTTATGACAGAGAAAAAATACACTGGGAATAAGTCTCTGAAACAACATATTTTCTTTAATATGAAAAGGAAGCTCAAAATGAAACTCATAATAAAAGGCCTTATAAAGAACTACAAGAAATATCTGTAGTATTTTCTTTCTACTGAATTTATCTCACCACCAAGTTTTCAATGTCTGTCTGTCTTTATTATTACCACTTTACAACCTGTTGTTTTCATTGCTGTTGCCCTTAACAACCTAGGACTGCTCCCTCAGGAATTAAAAAAAAAGAAAGAAAAAATTACCAATTTGTCCCAATAATATTTCATATGGCTAAAAATCACCAGAAGCCACAGTTGATCTTCTCCCTGTCTACCTAAGCATTCATCATCACGAGGCTTGCCAAAGTGAAATGTCCTTGTTTTTCAGCTTCTCTAAAGCAATTTAAAGTTCTCTGCTCAAATCATCATTGTCTAAAAAAATCCCACTAAGATGATCAGTCAGCCCAAGAAGCAGAATCTTTAAAACCACCATACCCTCAGCGTGTTTCTGTTTCCCAGAGGAGGTCAGGCCATTAGAGCTCTGTTGAGCCACTGTGAAGTTCTATTTTAACACAGAGAACTGCAGCCTCTGTGATGTGGCCACTCTTCCTGCTGCAAGATAAAATTTCTCTTTGCCACCCTCAGAATCCCTGATGCACGTCACCTCCACCCACCTCCATCCAGTTGTTTCTGCCCCCGTGGTTACCTGTGAGCAGCACCAGGAGAGCCCAGTTCAGGCAGATGGAAGACAACATTCTGGCTGAAGGTGACAAACAACACTCCTGTTCACCCTTCTCATTCAAGAAAAATTATCTTCTTTGTGAGCTTCCGTGTTTCCTGCTCAGCACATCATCTCCAGACAGAGCTGTGGGTGCCTCTCAGTGCAGTCTGGGCTGTTCTGCTCGAGGCTGGGCTGTGGTGCAGTGTGCTGCAGCACAGCTGCTGGGGCAGGGTACAAGCGCACTGAGCTCCCGCTGGCGGGGCTTTGACTGAGAGGTGACAACACTTCACAGCACCACACAACTCTGCTTCTCGTTTTTTTCCAGATCTGTTTGATGACTGTAAGTGAAACTTGACAGCAGCACTGAGCTGACACGACTGTCAGCAATCCGCTGCCCCAGACTGCTTCCCACACCTGCTTTGGCCACAGCAGACAGCGCCTGGATAAAAGGTTACGTAATACCTACTTGCTGTGGTAAGTGGAAAGGGCTTGGCCAAGTAAGAGATTTGTAGGATGAACTACTCAAGCTTTTCATCACAAGTTTCTGCTTCTAATACTTAGAAGCAACTCAGAGCATCTTCTGGCAAATTTTCTTTGGCAGCAACAATTTGTTAGTTTTGGAAAATTGTTACACAGTTGAGCCTAACAGAGTGCCAGTCTTTAATATTTAAAAATGCCACATGCATCCGCATAAACATACAGAATAGAGGAGACTTGAAAAAGTAGTGTGGAAGCCAACTCAAGGCTCACTTTGATAAAATACTGAAATACAGCTTTTGAGAAATGCTGTTCCCTGGCAATTCTCCCTGTGCCACTCTCCTCAAGGATGTCTTTTTATACTGTTTGGGCTAGAACTGCACCTGAGATCAAGGGCCAAGAAATGCTCTTTGCTGAAGCAGCTCAACTACTTCACAGTGAAATGAAGTACTAAGGAGTTATTTATGAGTAAGTGGAAGATGTTAGAATTGGAACCTTGCCTTGCATGACTGCCTTATAGGAGAACAGAGGCACCAAACTGACGGCAGTTTTAAGGGAAAATCAGGAAAACCAAGGGATTAATGTCTGAGAGACAAACTAGCAATACACTTGTAGGAAAGAAGTGATAGAAAGACGGATGAAGGTGATTTTTGCATGCAGCAGCTGGAAGCAGAACTCCTTTAGAAAAGGCTTCCTATCAGCTCCTGTGGTTTCTGAGGAAACTGCAGAGAGCTGCTAGAGGAACAATTCTGATAATTACCAGCAGGATCCTGAAACTGCTCTGCAAAAATGGGAAAGGCAGGGCAGGCTGTCTCTGCCAGGATCCCAGGAAAACCATTCGGGTCACACAACAAAAGGATGTGAGAGCTACAGGACACCAGTTAACCCACTTCCTTTAGATTTCACCTCAAACACAGACCATAAGGATTGCCTTCATGTAATCAGAGTTTCTGTCTGCCTGTTTTCCAAGTTCCTGTGTGTTGTTTGTGCAAAAAACAAACACCATTTCTGTAGGAATTTCTTCTTGACTCAGCATAAAGAATTATAGAATGGCATACCCAAAACAAGGAACAATGAAAGTACAACAGGAAAAGCCAACTTTAATCTGTGCCTACCACCTCACATGATACATTTAACAAAAATGAGACTTTTTATTTTTTACCAAAAAAACACAAAACTTTAAACATTTTCATCTGCCCAGTCACCCACAACCTCCAACAGGTGCACAACAAATGCTCTTTCTGCTTGTACAACAGCAAAACAAAATACAACATGCATGCTCAGAACCCCTTCTGTCTCTCACTGTGCTGCATTAACAAAAGCAGCTGTTTGCTTCATGTCATCTCATCAATAATGCTGCACATTGCTGCATCTTTGTCCAAAACCTGATCTCTCTTGCCACCAGAACGCTCCCTCTGCTTTTCGCTCTGTCCAGCGCAGCTGCTGCCATCATCAGTGTCCATGGGCTCCACGTTGACTCTCAGTCCCCCCTCCGTGTGAGGCAGATCATCAGGCAGGGAAGCCAGGCAGTTCTGGATCATCTCCACCACTCGCTCCAGGTGCTTCTGGAAGCGCTCGGCCGTCTCCAGGCGCTGCCGCTTCTGCACCTCCATCATGACCCTCAGCGTCTCCCTGGCCTGGTGAGGCCGGTACTCATTTATAAGGTGATGCACGTGGACAAAAAGCAGTTTCAAGTCTTCCAGTTTCTCCTCTCGCTTTATACTCCCTGGACTCCTTATCAAGATGTCCAAGAGGTCCAGGAAGTTGACCAGGATAGACATGTTAAGTTTCCTTAACTCCTTCTTGTGATCAAACTGCATAGGATGCAGCCGTTCGATCCCCTGGCTCTCCAGGGGCCGGATGATCAGATCATCACACTGGAACTGGTTCCCAAACATCATGTAGCTGTCCTTCACAGGAGGAGGCGGCTTTGGAGCCAGGCCTTTACGGATGTTTTCATCAGTGTATTCTTTGATATATTGCATTGGAGGCGGAGGAAGGGCACTCACTTGCTGAGGTTCACCCATTTTTGCCAGATGAAATTTCTAGGGAATGACCCAAGAAACAAATGTTAACAATTTGTGTCACAAATTTATAATATAAATGTACAAAAAGACAAAATATGGGAGATGGCAGTAAGAAAATGAGCAAGAAGAGACAACTCCATCCTCAGAATACAGGAAACTCCTGGCAAATCCACGTTATCTTTTCACTAAGATTTACTTATAGCAAGTACTAGAAGCACACAAAACACTCATTTCTCTAAATATGAAAGAGCAGCCTGTAAACTAGGCAGCCAAAGGGAAAAGGGTGACCCCCTTCCCTAGATGGGTCCTGGTGGGCAAACCCCCCAGAATCACAGAATATCCCAAGCTGGAAGGGATACACAAGGATCTGCACAGGCCCTGCACAGGACACCCCAATAATACCCCCATGCCTGACAGCATATCCCAAAGGCTTCTTGAAATATTTTAGGCCTGGGGCTGTGACCAAGGAGAGCCTGGGCAACCTGATATCCACCTAACCCTCTCCCAGCACATCTCCAGCCGCTCCCTCGGGCCCTGTCACTGGCCTCAGAGGGCAAAGGTAGGCGCTGGCCCTCGGGGGGAAGCTGCAGCCCGCGGTGAGATCCCCCTCAGTCTGCCCTTCTCCAGGCTGGCCACAACAAGTGACCGCAGCCGCTCCTCGTGCGGCCTCCATTCTTCACCCGCGCCCACGAGAGAAACCAGGCAGGGCCCACACCCGCCGCCCTGCCCCGCAGAGGAGGGAGTCTGGGGAGGCCCAAACGCCGCGGCGGGGCTCGCCAAGTCAGTGCTGAAGAAACAAGAGCCGGAACCACGGCCCGGCGGAGGGCACGGACCTCTCGGAGGCCGCACGGACCCCGTGGAGGCCTCACGGACCCCTCAGAGGCCGCACGGACCCTCCCGCCCTCACCTGCCCGCTCCGCCCGCCGCGCTCCCTCAGCGCCGCCGCAGCCGCTTCCGCCCGTCCGCCTCTCCTCTCTCTCCCTATTGGTTGGCGGCCTCGCGGTGCCGCGCTCTGATTGGCTGTGACGCAGAGCAGTCAGGCGCTCCTCCACTCAGCTCGCTCGGGGGCGGGGCCAGACGCGGGGCGTGGTTCCCGTCATGGCGGGGTGGGGCCGGGGCGGGTCGGGGGTTGCCCCATCCTGGGTCTGCGGGTACTCTTCAGCGGTCTGTGACCCCTCAGCGGTCCGTGACCCTCCCCAGCAGTTTGTGACCCTTCAGCGGTCTGTGACCTTTTAGCGGTCTGTGGCCCCTCAGCGATCTGTGACCCCTCAGCGCTCTGTGACCCTTCAGCAATCTGTGGCCTCTTAGCGGTCTGTGACCCCTCAGCGGTTCTGTGGCCCTCAGCGGTCTGTGGCCCTTCAGGATCCTGTGGCCCTCAGCGGTCTGTGCCCCTCAGTGTTCTGTGGCCCCTCAGGTGCGGGTTCCCTCGCCACCAGCCGCTGTGAGGCAGCGGGACCGGCCGGGGCAGGCGGGACCAGCCCGGCGGAGCTGGGACAGCGGGGACAGCGGGGACAGCGGGGACAGCGCTCGTCAGGGCGGCCCCGCTGCTGGGAGACAACAGCATTACAGAAAAATCACAGGAATCACAGAGCCAGTTAGGTTGGAAAATACCTCTGAGCGTTTGCAGCCTTCCGGCAGCAGAAAACACTAAATCTGACCATAACTGACAAACAGTTGGGCTCCGTTGCTTTTCTTTCCGTTTTCTTCCAGGGGGAGTTGAAGTTAACATGGTGGATGTAAGTTTTTCACCGGGTCAGGTGGAGCTGGGCTTGCTGGCATCGCTTCTGCAGGATTTTCTCCCTGAAATGGCCAGCAAAGGAAGGATTTTTCGATACTTGGCCGTTTCTGTGCCGTTCACTCTCCCTCAGCAGATGGCAGCAATGGCCTGGGTGTTAGGGACCCATCACCGCACACGCAGTGTCATTTACAGATTCACTATTCCAGATCGATTCTTTACTAAAAAAAATTCAGTTGAATGATAATTACTTTGTATCCCGTTAATTATTCCTAAAAACATGCAAAGGAGATCCAGAATCGTTATATTTATTTGATGAGAAAGCCTAAAACGATGTACTGAATATCTGAATATTTATATATTGCAAATTAAGCTACACTTTACAATTTACAATGAGTTGAATATTTAAATATTCCAAACTGAACTTCACTTTACAATTTACAATGAGTTGAATATTTAAATATTCCAAACTGAATTACACTTTACAGTGAGTAAAAGCCTGGCTGAAAAATGCGCTGATTTGTTCTCATTTGTAAGCAATTTGCTGAATTCAGACAAGGATGCAGTTCCATGCTGCAATTAAAACGTTTTTCCTTTGGAAAAGGTGATCTCATTCCTTCACCTCCATTCCTGCTTCCTCATCCCTCTCTTCTTTCTTCCCTCCTTGCTCCTCCAGCCCCTCACCGGCTGTGCACCCTTTTCTTGTCACTGCTTGTGCCACCACCATCGGGCACTGGATTGCAAAGCAAACTGATGCAGCTCCAAACCCATAAAAACATTACTGCAGTTTTTTTTGTAAAGTTTTCAGCTTTTCTAATGAATTAACATGCTGTGCTGTGTGCCCTGAGAACATCAGGGAGAGGTTTTGAGAGGGGAGCGTGCATAGGCAGAAGGAAAGGAGGAGGCTGGGAACATGGGGTGGGGAATTGTCCTCTCCATTTCTGTGACAGAAAGCTCTTATCTTGTCTCAAATTATCTTGTTACAGCATACTCTGAAAGACAGATAAGGAATAAAAATCATTGCTTCCAGAGATGCGTGAGATAACGCATGTAGTAGGAGGTACCAACACACCTTTGGTTTTATTGGACTTTCCAGACTTTGATTTCACATTCTTTTTTACAGGAGCTGAGCTTGATTCTCTAGTGCCTTGCACTCAGTGAACCATGCAGCAAGGATGTAAAATGCTGTGACTTCAAACAGGAGCAGGCAGAGAGAGTCACGCTCTTGTTTTTTCCTCGATCTCTGTGATCTCCCTGACTCATTTTCTGTATGATGGTGGCCAGGACAGGGGATATAACATCAGTCTTGTTCTTGGTGGCAGGGCTGCTTCTCAGAAGACCCATGGATGACCTTTTCCAGCCCACAGGGAGTGGCTGACACTTCTCCTTACAGTGCTTCTAAATGAGAAATTAAGAATTATGTGGAATGTCAAGTGTAGCACTCTGCAATTTGCTTCCTGCTCCAGTCCAGCTCTTTTCTGAAATAAGGGAACTATCCAGTACAAGCTTACCACTGGTAATGAAGCACAATTCCTACATCATCTCCAACTTGTGGGAATGAACTTGGACACCCCTTCAGCAGATGGTGAAGAAGTACCATGATATTCTCTGCCTCAAAGACTCAACATCTTAATTTACAGCTTTGGTTAAGTTTATTTTCATTTTCTTCATAACTAATTTTATGCAAATTGGCATGTTGCAGTAGCAAGCACTCCATTTCTGTTAATTCAGCAGCAGTGTGTACAGTGTGTGCCATTGCAGTATGCTGTTATTTTAGCAGAACTGGAATCCAAACATTGTACAAGCACAGTAAATATAAACCCCACTTTCAGGCATGCTCTTAGAACAGTGCTTCTCTCTTCTGCGTTACAACAGATTTCTTTCATTTCTTGCTGCTGTTGCACTCTAAATAATAAATAAATAAATAGATGTGTGTGTGTTTTTCTCATGTTGTATGAAAAACAACCCCAAAGTCAAACTCAGTTCCAGTCTCTTCTCGGGCGTAGGTTAGGGGTAGATCTTGTAGCCTAGTTAAGCAATGAGCTCAGGAATTTCCTTTTTTGGTGATTGTTACAGGCTTTGTTGCAGGATATACCAGGGAGGAGGGCGAGAGAAAAGGAGCCTGTTGGGGGTGAAGGAGACTTAACCAAGCTTTATGTCTCCATCTGCTGTGGTTAATTCCCATCTCCCTGCCTCCCGCTGTGGCTTTGGGAGTGAATGAATTTGCAGTGCAATGCTGTGCAACCTTTTCTTCCTGACTCCTCAGACTAAAATATCAGCTGCAGCCTATTGGCACGCCTGCTAAAGTAGGAGAGGAGTTTAATGTTCCCATCATGTGAAAACTGGGGCACAACACAGAGCAGTGCATGGCAGCTAAACTGTTTCTTGCTATACAGCCTGTTATCAAACAGATTCAAAACTCGAAACAGAGCTTTCATGGTTACTTAGCAATAAACCAGGTATCTCACTACTATTAGGAAACTGATAGGGCTCAAAATCCAGGCATGTTTTGATGGAATCACCCAGCACTCCTTCCTATGTTCATAGTCATAGTATTGTCTCTGGAAGCAGCCCCCCAGCCTGATTTTTAAGCCAGACATTAATGCTGGGTGGTTTTTTTGCTCACATGCCTGTTGTAACTGCTTATTCAAACATGTCTTTAAAAAATGCATCTGCATGGCACAAAGAAGTAATTCCTGTCCAGCAAACAGTGACCTGGGTATGGCAAATGTGTTGTATTGCCAGGGTAAACCCTGGGATCTGCAGCACGTTTTGCCAGCAGTGCAAGTCCCACCTTTGTCTTCAGAGGGAGACAGAAACAGACAGGAACCATGATAGCCAGGTGGTAATAAAAGGAGCTGGAACAAAATCCCAGTTTGGCTATAGCTCCCACCAAGCAAGATTTTCCTTTCTGCATTTTTGCCTAAGAGAGAACAGCTGAGGAAAGGATTAATTGTCCCTTCATCACAGAAGAAGGGACGTAACCCTGTGCAACTTCTCCAGTATAAAACACGTTCTCTATATTACTGCCAATACTGGGAATAATTCACTTCACGAATGATGGATAATCACTACATCCTCCCAGCAGATGCTCAGAACAAGGCATCCCATTTCCCAGGGCTCCCAAACAGTTCACAGGAGGATCTTGCTCTGCTTCTACAACTCCCTGGGTCACTGGGAGCAGTGTGAGGGGATTCAAAGGTGCAGTTGTAACCTCAAGGAAAGTTGGACGCATCTGGCTCATAAAGACCAGCTAATTCTCCCCTTTTTCTGCAGCTTTCTGTCTTGTTCTTTGAGTCTACTGGAGCCATGTTTACTGGGATGATCATGAATTGCCAAAGAAGCAGGACAGCTGAGTAACCTAAATGAGAATTTCTCGCACTCTAAGCTAAGTAGCAAAATGGAAGTTTAGAAGTTGAGTAACAATCATCATGTTGAGCAGCTGGTGTAGAGGAACAGCTGGCACCAGGCAGCAAACCTGACCTAAATATTGCACATGATAGAAGGATATAGGTCAGTTTATGTGGGTGAAGAGAGAGATGCAGCCTTCCAGACTGGTTTTTTTGGTTGTTTTTTTCAGAAACAAAAACTACCTATATTTAACTTCAAAAATTTCTCTGCCGCCTTCAGGACATAAACCTTGGTATCAGAGCAGGATGTGCAGGTGGGGAGATTTTCACAGTCTGCAGTAATCAAAGTGAGAACTGCATAATCTGGGTAAAACCCCTATGAAAAAATCCAATCCATAAAATAACATTTTTTTTAAAAAAATCAGAAATAAAGCAGTTTGCATGAGGTAGAAAGCAAAGAACAAAGGTGATTGAAAGAAATAAAGAAGTCCACTGAAGCTACAGTTGATAAGAAGAACTTTACAACTTCAACTTGCCCAGCACAGAGGAGTATTTAGAGCATACAGCAGCTCAAATTTCAATCTCAATAATTTAAAATATTTCAGATTTTCCTGCATATGGACAGAAAAGTGTCAAGGGATACATGGTAGCAAACCTTTATAAAAGCACTGAAGCAGAGGAGACGTAGGATACCTAAAAAATTAATCATCCCTCATCATGAAGTTTAGTCTTAGTTTTAAGATGTTCAGGATGGTTATGTTTAATTCTGTTCCACAAAGGATACAGAATTTCTGTAACTTGCAATATCAAGTGCTGCCAAAATTCTTGAAAGGAGTGTCCGGTGTAAA